AGCTACGGGAAAGCGTGGAAATAGGTCCCGGTCCACACCACGGTCCTAGGAGTTATATTAGCTTCTATATTAGAAAGAGTGGAGTGGACCCCCTAGCCCAGTACCTATTTAGCCTTCTCCTAGGAATCCAGGGAGTCCTCTACGTAAGGCCATACCTAGTGTAGACCTATACAAGAGTCACCCAGAAGCCACCCAGATGGAGCTACGGGAAAGCGTGGAAATAGGTGCCGGTCCAGACCACGGTCCTAGGAGTAATATTAGCTTCTATATTAGAAAGAGTGGAGTGGACCCCCTAGCCCAGTACCTATTTAGCCTTTTCCTAGGCGTCCAGGGAGTGCCCTCTACGTAAGGCCATACCTAGTCGAGACCTATATAGGAATACCCGATTCATCCCGTATCTCTGAAGCATCACAGCTCCAGGCACGAGGCACCTGCATTTCCTGCTTGCATGATCCTCCCGCCGTCTGCCCATCAACCTGAGGAGGGTGTCGATTCTGGCTGGCACCTAGCCTGATGAACCCCGACGGGCTCGCCCATTTCAGATACAGGTCAGAGTACTGAAGACACCCTGGTCATAGCCACAAGGCAGGCTTCCAGAAACAAAACCAACCGAGAACACCCTGGCCTGCCGCTGCTGCTCCGAGGAGTCCACCAGATCCGAGGAGGCCGCCACCTGCAAAGGCAACATCCGTGCCAAAGCAGCAGAATGCAGCAGACCATGAACATCCACGAAAAAAAAAACAACAGCCTGGATGCGCGTTTTCCCTTCACTCCACGGATGTATGAGGATCTATAGCTACCTCCGTGACTGACCACGAAAGGTGGAGTCTTTGACTCCAAGCCAAAATTATCGCAACTCCGCGGATCTACGAGGCCGTCTTAGGCCCTGGCTACCCCCGTGAACCACCACGAAAGGTGGAGTCTATGACTCCGAGCCAAAACAAAACGTAGCCTAGAGCTTTCGCCGCTCCGGCATCTCTGTCTCCGGGGTCAGCTTGGCCAGCGAAGTCGGCATCTCTGTCTCCGGGGTCAGCTTCGCCAGCGAAGCCGCAGCTGGATGGGGGGAGCCCATCGGTGCCCGATCCGAGGAAGCAGCTGATTTCACCGAAGCTGTCCGCAGGTATGACTTCAAGAACTGCCAGTAAGGTGGCCCCCCGCCGCCGGGACTGGAATCCACTGATTTCTGGCTATCATCCTCATCAGGTGCCGACGACGACGACTGAGAGCACTGCAGGAATTGCCAGTAAGGTGGACCAGGACTGGGGGCTAGCGCCGGGGCTGGCTTCGCTTGATCGCCTTCCTGACTCAAGCCCCGATTTGGCTCCTTCGCACACTTCGTCGATGGAGGCGACTGCAAGCACAACCAGGACAGCGGCTTCGATCGCTGAGGTGTCGTCGGGTGCTGAGCAGAAGAAGACTCCATGGGGAGGCAATGTCACTTGCAACCAAAGTCGAGACTGGATCCGAAGGTCAGCTGTGCTCTGATATCAGACAGTGCAACGCACAACACAATCAGAGCAACAACACTGTCTGGGACATGGCTGTCATTCCAGGATTCGCTTCAGGCTTTGGGGATCGTTGAGGCATCACGGCTCAGGAATGACATTAGTCAGCAGCGCCGATTCCCGCCTTGTCCAAGGAAGGCTGACCTTCACGAAGATCATGATCAACCTGGCGGGTGAGAATGGGGGTCCAGACAGCCTCTCTCCCACAAAATAGGGACACTCTCCCCCCACTACAGGAGTACCGAGGACCAGCCATGCCCAGCCCAAGAAGCAACTCATGATATGTGATCCTGCACAGAAAGACTGCCCAGGGCTACCAGACCCGATCCTGCCTTCTCCGAAGAAGTTGTCGGCGGATGATGATCAGCAGCAGCTTGCACCTGATCAGGTGGGCTGATTGCAGCCCCATGAGATCCCATGAGGTCACTAGAAGCATGAAAGGCCCAGTCCAAGTCAGCGACACATCCTGTAAAGGCACCGAAACCAGCCCCGAACCGTCGCCTTGTCCAAGGAAGACAAACCTGAATCACGGAGATCACGATCGACCTGGCGGGTTTCGCATCGAGGCACTACAAGAATATACGAGACTACAAAGGCCCAGGCATGTACAGTCCACGAAGCAACTGTTCCTATCTGATCCTGCACGGCACTACTTGCTGCGGCTAGCCCCCGAACCCGCCTTCTCGGAAGAAGCCCTTGGCTGATCAGGACCCACTCCAGCATGCACCTGATCGGGTGGGATGTTGAGGGACGCACAAGGTCACCAGAGACACTACCGGACTACGAAGCCACAGTCATGCCTGGTCCTACCGGCACCATGGGCTCGCAGCCCCGACCCTGCCTTCTCCGATGAAGGCGTGGGCTGATCAGGATCAGCAGCAGCTAGCACCTGGTGCACACACACACACACAGACACCCAGCACATCGAGCAACGGCGCAACGAGAAGCATGGAAACCATCCCCGGAACCGTCATCCCTTATATACCGAAACCCTAGATGCTGAGGCCTTCGCTCCCAGAACTCTGCAATCGGAGCCCTCGACGACCAGCGACACCTGCGTGCACCGCAACCGGACCCTGGCAACTGCGACTGCCACCAGTATCCTAGCCCTTACCCTAACCCAATGCACCGACACCTAGTTCACCAGCACGAGCAGCAGCAAACTCCCGATCCCCAAACAAGCCCCGAACACAACCCAAACCCCGCTGTATCAAGGACCCTTGCTGCCTTCGGATCGGGAACCAAGCCACCAGCGAGGACCTGCAAGCAGGGGAAACGACGAAGGGAGGAGGAAGCTCGAGCGCTAGAGAGGCTTGCTTGCATACGAGGTGGGAAAGTGGGGAGGGGGAGGGGCTTGGTTTCTGGGGGGAGGCTGCAACCGAGGACCTAGAGACCCATGAAGCTTCAAGCCCAATAAACCCAAACATCGCCCCAGACCCCAAACCCCGAATCCAAAAAAGGAGACCCGTGAAGCTTCAATCCCAATAAACCCAAACATTGCCCCAAACCCCTAAACCCCGAATCCAAAAAGGATACCCGCATCTGTTGGGGCTTCAGGGGTTTGGCTTTCTGGTGTCTTCGGGTCTTTGGGGGGCTTCTTGTTCCGGGCTTCGGGTCTTTGGGGGGGCTTCTTGTTCGGGGCTTAAGGGGTTGGGCTTGGGGCTTGTAGGGAGGTAAGGTAGGTAGATAGGCAGGTACAACAAAAAGACCCAAACAAAGCGGTCCTAGTATCTTCTAAGCCTGGCTTGATTTTGGGGGGGTGGGGCTTTGGGATTTTGGTGGCTTTGGGGGCCTGGGGTTTGGGTGCTTTGGGCCTTGGGGCTTTGGCGGCTTGGGGCTTGGGTGCGCTTTCGGGGCTTAGGGAGGTGGGATCGCGATGTTTCCACAGCGAAGCTGCCTCGTGGGATGTGTGCACCGATTCCCCCAAAGTATCGGGATAAGCTAACCCGGCCAATGCCTAGGTGCCAAACCCTATTAAGCCTTAGTTACTAAGCAGCCCCGGTGCACACATCCCGTGAAACTCACCCCTCGGCACCTGCTACTGCTAGTGCTGCTCTCTGCTTTGTGCTGTGCAGTGCTGGTGCTGTGCTGTGTTGTGCTGTGCTATGCTGTGCTGGTGCTGGTGCTGGTGCTGGTGCTGGTGCTGGTGCTGGTGCTGGTGCTGGTGCTGGTGCTGGTGCTGGTGCTGGTGCTACTGCTAGTGCTAGTGCTAGTGCTAGTGCTGTGTTGTGCTGTGTTTTCATGCTACATGCTTACCGCTCACGGAGGCGTCGGCGGAGGCGTAGGCGGAAAGCCCTGGAAGCCATCCTCATCTGAGCTCGCGCCCTTCCCCTTGCCCTTGCCCTTGCCATCGAAGCCATCCTCATCTGAGCTCTTTCCCTGGCCCTTGCCCTTGCCCTTGAAGCCATCCTCGTCGGAGCTCTTTCCCTTGCCCTTGCCCTTGAAGCCATCCTCGTCTGAGCTCTGGCCCTTGCCCTTGCCCTTGCCGTTGCCCTTGATGCCATCCTCGGCTGAGCTCGTATCTCCCTTGCCAGCGCCCTTGCCCTTGCCCTTCATGACATCCTCCTCTGAGCTCGTGTCTCCCTTGCCCTTCCCATGCCCCAGCCGTCGGCAAACATCGAAAAGCACCTTGCCCTGGATCTTGACTTGGGGCTCAATCGCCCCAAGCCTTCCCTTGATCTGGTCGATCTCCTGGCGAAGTGTCGAAGCCGATGCCTTCATGCCTTCATCGTCTTCATCGGCCTTCATGGCCTTCTTGCTCTTCATCGCCTTCGCGGCTGGCTTCCTCTTGACCTGGGCGGCCTTCATGGACTTCATCGCCTTCTGGCTCTTCCTCGCATCGGCCTTAGCCGCAGGCCTCTTCATCGTCGTTTTGGCGGATCTAAGTCCAGCTGCAACTGCTCAGAGCCCCTCTGTCTTTGCCTGCTTGCAGACGGGGATGTGAACCGCAGCTGGCACAGCAATCACAGCAGCAGCAGAGGTGCTATGGCCAGGATATGCCAGGATCCTTGTGAAGGCAGCAAAAGAAGGAATCCAGAAGAAGCCGCAGAGAGGTGCTATGGCGATGTTTGAAGGATCCTTCTGAATCGATGGGCTCAGAATTTTGTTTTTCTGCACTATATATGTTATTTCAGCTCGAGGATCGATGGGCCATGTTGTCACTGTCTGGGTTCGTATTGAAGATCAGCATCAAGCAGCTTGGTCCAAATGCTGTTCTCAGTCATCACAATCCGCACTTGACCGTCCTAAGCCTAGGACCTTCACCATTGTCGCCACCCCAGCGAATCCCAACTCCCGGAACACACCAACCCTCAAACCCCCCAACCGCTTCAAGGACATCAAATGGGATGCTCAGGATTGCTCAGGATTTAATGAACATAATCCAGAACCAGGCAAACCCAGCCAGCCCAAAACCCAACCGATTTGCGCACCTCTGGCACTGTCGGTGTGGGTGCTTCGTTGCCTGGATCCTGGCACGAGCTTTGGGGGTTGGAGGTTTGCGATATCCAAAAGCCCACTCCGGGGAATGGCTCGCATGCTCCTAGGACACGGCAACACAAAGACTCTAGCTGAAATTTCTCCAAAACCTAGAGGATCGATAAGCCATGTGTTTACCGCTTGGCTTCACATTGATCACCGGTGCACCTTCCTCTCATCTCCGCCGTCCTCATCCGCTCGATCCTGGCAAAAATGTTCGGGGCTAGGGTTAAGGTCGAGGCTTGTGGGATTGAGGTCCAAGGGTCAGGAGCTCGGGGAACGGCACACACATGCTCCTACTGACTATCGCTCCATCAACCAAAACACAGCACTACAGTCGCCACAACCACCCGACCCCCCCGAACTTCTCAATCCCCTTTGGCACCTCCGGATCCAGTCGCTGGTGTCCCACAATCATGTCCTGACACAAGGCTTGGGGGTTGGGTCCAGGGGCCAAGGACCCTAGAGGGCTGCACTGGCAACAACATGCACCAACAATTCCTGCACAGCGGAATCGAGCCAAAGACAAACCCCAAGAGCACATCTGAGAAGCCAGCGGGAACAGTCGTTGCCAGCTGCTCCACCCGCGATGCCGCGGCTGCTTCCTGTGGACCGAGGCTGGGAACAACATCGGGCCACACCCTCAACACCCGGACCAAGCTGCGAACGAAACTACTTTCAGCAAACGGCAAAGTCGAACCCCAAAACCCCAAACCCCACAAGCTCCGAAATCTCCGGCCTCGTCCGGTGTCACCAGATCCCCAGCCTTCGTAGTGGCTTGGGTTCAATGCATAAGGTGCCACGGCCCTACAATGCTACTTATCCGAGGTCATGGCCAATGCAGCCTCCTCGCACTGATCTGTGGCCTGCCACGGAAATCACCAAACCCCCTTTCCGGAGCACCACGAAAAAAAAAATGAGATCCCGGCCACGATCGCTGATGGTGCCGCAGCAGAGCCCTGGAGTTTGCATTCGAGTGGTTGAAGCCAAAGCTACGGCATGGGAGGTCAAGGCCCCCGACCACCGGTACCAATGACAATGGTGACGACGAGTCCTGCAGTCCGAGGACTTTTGCAAGAGATCAAGACCGGAGCCAAGACACAATCTGCCTCCTTGGCAAAGCCGTGATCACCCGATGTCGTGGATGCAACCGCTGCATCCTTCAAGAATTCAGGCACCTGCCCGGCACGGGGAACAAAATACAATAAGGCTGCAACTTACCTGACCCCGTGCCTCTGGCACACCGGTCTCCTTCGCCCACTGGTCCGCCTACAGCAACAGGACCCCCTTACCGCGGATTCCGCACTCCTGCCAACACCCGCCTTCTTCTTGCCCCGAAAAAGGTCGCTCTCGATGCCCGCCGAAGAGTACTTGTACTGAACTCGGCAGCATCGACCGGAACAGAGAGACCCCAAGCGCTCAAGCAACCGAGGCACGAGAAAAGATGAGGCCCCGGCATTCCCGCCTCGTACTCCCGTACGACCGAAACCAGCACGACCACCCCATGGCAATGGTTTTCGGACGTTTCGGGATATGTTTCGGGATATGTCTGGTATTGCATGGTGTTGCGCTCTCACATCTCGGACAAGCCAGGTGAATCACCCTCTCCTGTCTGTCTGTCTCTCTGTCTGTCTGTGTCTCTACTAGGCCAGAATAGGGCAGACCAAAATACCGTCGTCAAAGCAAAATGCCTGCAGGATTTGCCTGTTGTTTCAAATCAAGACTCCCCAGATGCATACATACATATACATACATACACACGGACATCATAACTACATGCTCAAGTCAATCCCCCGGTACCTATTTCTGTCTTGCCCCGGTAATCCCCGGTACCTATTTTTTCCCCCACCCCCCCACTCTCCCGAAATAGGTCCCGGAAATAGGTCGCACTCACAGTAACCCCCCCCCCCCCAGTACCTTTACGAGGGGGTGGTGATAACTAAAAATTCCTCCGACACCTGTACCCTGAACCCGAAACCCTAAAACCCAAATCCCAGAAACCCTAAACGCAAAAACCCTGAACCCTAACACCCTAAATCCCGGAAACTCTAAACGCAAAACCCTATGTAAGCCTTTCAAAGGCACCAAAACAGTGAGGAGACCGGGAGTCGTCTACCGCTTCACCTTGGGTCCCCACTCCTCTGGCACCTCAGGGCAAGCTTGATTATCATTCCTGTTACATACATACATACATACATACATACATACATACATACATACATACATACATGCGTGCATACATACATGCATGCATGCATGCATGCATGCATGCATGCATACATACATACCTACATACGTACATACATACCTACATACACACATACATACATGCATGCATGCATGCATGCATGCATACATGCATTCCGTTCTCGAACCTCGTGTAGGGTTCCTGTTTCCGGGTGCAAGGCTTTTCTCCCGCAAGCGGTTTTTTCCACAGCCCTGCTGCAGATGCCCCGGGACGACTGCACGCCTGCTGGCCTTCAGCTTGGGCCTATCAAGACAACCCGGTAGAACCGTGTAAGGCTCCATGTAAAGTCAAGGCAAAGCCCAACAAACCCTATCTACGAAGTCCAGTATGCAACGATTCCCCTAACTCGCAATCCTGAGAATCAACTCAGCAAAGCCCCAACTGCCGATGCATCGCTCACCTCAGCCTTAAACCAGATATATAGAGGCCTCGATAATCGGAATTGGGGTTCAGGGGAACATTCCAATAAGATGCATAGAAGGAGCCCTCACAGCTCGTCCTAAGTATTCAGGCCCCTGCATTAAGCAGCCGGCCCCAAGCCCCCAAACCCTATGACCTACTAAAGCCAGATCCCAGCTCTAAATCCAGAATCATGGGATCAAACAAGAGCAGGATGTCTTTAGTTAGTTGCTGAGTTCATACGACAAAAAAGTGTGCTCTGTCAGTTTTATACGGGTTCATATGCGCCCAAAAAGTGTAAAGTGTAACAGTGCACCCATTCAGCTACGAAAGGTCTCTAAACCAGCTTCCTGCATCAACAAAACGGACGAACACCCCGAACCAGTACTGTAGGGGCCTTAATTATTTAGACCAGTGACCAGGATTTTGGGGGGCTCCAAAAAAAGTATGATAGAAGATACCCCAAACCCAATTCTAACTGTTAAGGCCCTAAGCCCTAAACCCTTGTAGTAGCCCTTATAGAACCCTTCAAAGAACCACCCAGCAAAGACCCTATTCTAATTATGAAGGCCACAAAAACACCACCGGCGTGCCCCTGGCCTCTGACGCCTCATCACTCTCCTGGCCATCTCTGCAGAGCTGTGTCTTCAGCCCTCATACAAACGACCCAGAGGGGTTTAGGGGTTAAGAGCTTTGGGAATAAACCCTAAACCCTAAACTCTAAACAGTGCTGTAGGGCTTCTTGCTCCCGACCTGGCTGGCTCTTCAACGAAAAACACACGCGAGCTGCTACGAGAAAAACGCCCTGCAGGCAACCACAGCATCCTGGCCCGACCAATTCTGATTTGTGTGTATATATATATATATGTATATGTATATGTATATATATATATATACATACATACATATAATGTACTACGCTTACTGAATAAGACTTGTGAGGGATCATTGCTTATGTACTAGTAGAACATTTTGTGTGCTCTAATGGCCGGTCCTCTTCCTCCTCCAGGCTCGCCAGCCACTTGCCGACTTCATCTTCGCCTCATGCCATGCGGCTAGGAGCCGCGGGCCGGAGCTGATTATGCTGAGCTGCGGCGAGAGCTCTCTTTATCTTTACGTGTTTCTGTTTCTGTAAACGTGCGTACATATGTATATCCAGATGTATGTGTGTATGTATGTATAGATATATGCGTGTGTACATAGAGAGACACATGCGTCTTCATCTGCTTATGTATTTCTGTATTCGTTCATACTTACATGAGTAGGACAATGTCTACATGTCACAAAAACTAGGATACAACCCCTTTTTGTATGTAAACAGATATTACCCACACTAATGCCGCCAGACGGTTCTTACGCTCCCGATGTTGATTGAGGTTTGGTGCAGGATAGGGCCCCAAAAAAGCACAAAAGCAACAATTAGGATAAGGATATCCCATATAAACCCCCTTATAATGAAGCCCAATAAGGTAGGGATATCTCTATAAAATGCTTATGCTTATGTGCTTTTTGGGTTCTTAACAGAACGTGTCACCCTCTGTGCACCGCACTCACACGCAAGCGTGTGTGTGTGTGTGCGTGTGTGTGTGTGTGTGTGTGTGTGTGTGTGTGCGTGTGTGTGTGTGTGTGTGTAATGTCTGTGTGTGTGTGTGCGTCCGCGCTCTGTGTGTGTGTGTGTGTGCGTGTTTGTGTGTGTCTGTGCGTTTGTGTGTGTGTGTGTGTGTTTGTTGGTTTGTTGGCTTGTTTGTTTTTGTGAATATATATATATATACACATACACACACACATACATATATATGATCCCGGTTCGGCCGGCCCCCCCCCCCTCCCCCCCCCAATGGTTCCTCCTCCCCCTCCCTGTGGTGTGGGGTGGTTGTGGGTTGCTTCCCCCTCCCTGCTGTGGTGGTGTCTTGTGGTTGGGGAG